ATTGGGCTCCCTGCTCCGCGGGAAGCCTGCTTCTCCCTCTCCCACTCCCCCTGCTTGTGTTCCCTCTCGCTGTGTCTCTCTCTATCAAATAAATAAATAAAATCTTTAAAAAGTAAACACCCATCTGCAGTGTGCAGGTGAAGATAAGGACTATAACTTATAGGCCATCAGGATAAATGTCTACTTGATGATATCAAGGATTCATCACAAATATTTTTTCCTATATTAGGACAAAGATAGTGGGAAGACCTCTGTGGTTGTGGGTACATGGAACCAAGAAGAGCATATTGAATGGGCTAAGAAGAATACTGCTAGAGCCTATCACCTTCAAGATGATGGTACCCAGTCAGTCAGGTAAAGATTAACCTTATTTGCCTTTGGATCTGATTAGTAGAATATTTAAAACTCAGAATATTGAAAAGCATAAAATTTAAACACTTAAGTAAAATCTCTGGTCAGTTTTTTTCAGGGACATCTTTTAAATTAGTTTTCTTTTCTAAGGTAATAGTTAAGAACACAATTTCTGAAGGTGGTGGCGGGGGCGGGCCTGGATTCAAATGCTGGCTCTTCACTTACCACCTTGGGCAAATTACATAATCTTCTTAAGTCTCACTTTTCTTGTCTACTAGTATTTGCCTCAAAGGACTGTTAGGACACTTAAACAATCATGTATGTAACACATAGTGCGTGGCAACAGCATGCAATAAGTTCTGGCCGCTGCCTTTAAAGCGGTGGTGGTGTGATAATGAGAGTGCTGGTGGCTGGCCTTCGTGACAGACGCTGGCTCACTTCCAGCCAGTAGGTCTGAGGCTGTTAGAAAGCATTGCCTCTTTCATGTGTCCTCTTTACCTTTTTAAGTTAGTTAATTCTATGTAAATATACTCTAGCATTTCCCTTTGTTACTTTACCTCTATGAGGTTATGATTGAAAATAAAGAGTGGCTTTCTGAAAAACTACCTCACAACTTCTTTGAGTTATATAGGTGTATCTTGTTACAGCAGAAATAAATTAAGCTCTTATTTTCCAAGAATAACTAAGCTTTAGATTTTCTTGTAGTCCTCTTACCTGGCGAATTTTGAATTGTTCATTCTTTCTCTTTCTTGGGTATTAACTTTGTCCTTCCTAGCACTGATGGCATTGAGAGACTCTGTTTTTTTTTTTTTTTTT